TCATTGCTCATAACTATCAGACTTTTGACTTCATTTCCATAACATCAAATGCTGCTTTTTGGTGGGCTCCCTGTGTAGATTCACAGGCCTTCCTTTGAAATTGAATGGATCGAACTCACGACTGCCTGCTTGCAAGGCAGGTACTTATGCCACTGAGCTAAATCCCCAGCCCCCAGGGACTGTTATTTTTATGTACCTGCAGCCTAACTCAAATCATTCTCTGCATACAGATAAATTTGCCTCTGTGTTTTATGTGGTAGTGATTCCCCTGTTAAACTCCTTAATCTATAGCTTAAGAAATCGAGAGGTCAAAAATGCCCTGAAGGAAATTATCGAAAAGTTGTGTTTGGCCATCAAAAATGAAAGAGTCTCTAAGCAAAAATGAGCAGACTTTGGGCTTTGTCTTATGTAGATTTGCAAGACTGGGAAATGTCAGAGCCACCTTTTCCGCTCAGATGCTGGTGCTCACTTTGACTGTGACTCCTCTGCTGTGTCAGTCTCAGAATTTCCCCTTGAGAGATATTTTGTGAATATTCAGTTGTTGCATTTTAAAAGAGCAAAGAAAATGGAGGTGAAGAGAGGCAAATGAATCCAAATCCTGTTTTACATAATATGTTCAATAATTTAAGAAAGCGTATGGGAGAATAAAGCCTGTATTTGAACCGAATAAAGCCTGTATCTGTGTGATGTTGTAAAATTAGCATTATTTTTAAATAAAAGCATGTCTTGTTTTTATATACCAAATTTTAGACATCAATCATTTAGAAAATATATCAACATTTAATATGTGTGTGTTTTGTAAAACAAACTGGGCATTTCCCCATATCCATACTCTTTCTGCAATCCTCCTATCAAGTAGAGGACTTGCTTTTGGAGAGTGGCCTGTCCTACACCCACCCTGACCCTGCACCCACTGGGCAGCAAACTCTCACTCTGTGTTTGGTCCTCTGAGCACCTGTTACAGGTAAGCCATTTCTGCCCCTCAGCTTCCTCCTCTGTAGCAGGCTGCAGTAATTCCTTTCTCCTGGCCCAATTTCCAGTGTTAGAAAAGATTCTGAATGTGAAAGACATTGCTCAGTTCTCAGCATCCAACGGGTGCTTCACAAATGCGCATACCTTTACTTCATTGACCTTGCTATTGTATCAGGATTCCTCTTTCCAAGGTAGGCAATTGGGTAACAGCGTTCTATGAAATAGTTAGCAACATGAGATCCTTCCCCTCGATATAAAATTGTGAAAATATAAAAGTTAAAGTGTCACCTCATTTCAATGTTTTAAAGTTTAGTTCTATTAAATTCATGTATTGTAAAGGTATTGTGATACTAACATCTTCAAATAGATATACACTTCATGAAAAAGAAATCATTTCTGTTTTAGATTAATAGTCATGAACTTACTCAGTTTCACACGTTTGAAAGGAAACATAATTTTCTTTTACTGAATGCATTTCTTGGGTCAAGTACCAGACAAGGTGCCTTGACCAGGTTGCCTCACTTAATTTTCAAAATACTCAGTTGAGATGGGTATTGAAAGAATGAAACTATTCAAAGCTGTTTATGTGATTCACTAACACACTAGAATTGACAACTGGAAGAATCAAATATTTAAGTTCAATTTTGAAGAATCTTAAAGCTTAATTCATAAGTGACTATCTCCCACTGCTAGTTACAAAATGTTCAGATTTTTTTCCAATACAAGTAGACATTCACAAATGCCACCCCCGCGTGATATGTAAATTAAAATTCTTCAGAAGTTAAAGAAATTATGAGGAATATATGCAAGTCTGATTTTGGTACAAAATTTGAAACTCCCACTCTTTTGTTTATCTACCCTGACAAATGGAAGTGTGAAAGGAAGTCACCACACATATGCGGAGGACTGTGTGGCTTTGTCATCTGTTTTCCTGTGATGTTACTTAAGACGGTCCAAACCTACCAAACCAAGATTCTTACCAGCGCCTGTAAGGTTTAAGGGTATTTTACTTCTACACTTTGACATCCCTGAGTCCCCTTTGCTTTTGCATAAATTCCTTGGCTTAGAACACAAGAATAGATCCTGTCATAACTCTGAATGACAATCTGCTTATCTTTAATTGATAGGTTTAGGAAAAGTGATCTTTAGGGGTCCCTCAACTTACATAATTAATGATATCATAAAAATGTCACCAGCTGGTCTCCTTAGTTAAATCCCTTGTAGACCAATTTGCATTCCAGCCTTCTGTAAGTACATAGTTACAGCTCTTCTTCTTCATAGATTACAATATTACTTGAAGGAGTTAGCACAAACAACAATGTATGCATGTGTAGCACACTAATGCTTCAGAAATGTATCTGAGGGAAAATGACAGACTTGCAGGCAAGCACACAAAGCCTACAAGTCCATCCGAGGGTTTACATTCATATCTATTCCTAAAATTCTTATGCCTCTGAAACAAGTGACTTTGGAGTGAAAGTATGCTTTCAGATTTTCAAAATTATCAATTTCTGTAGCACAAAATGGGTTACAGATGAATTCCTTATCCTCTTCAGATTCTATTGTCTACATCTTTGCTTGGGATGGAGTGTGGTTAAGAGAAGTACATGAATTGGTAAATGTTTAGTGTTTAAAATAAGACGAAAACAACAAATAGACAATAAAGGTCAGCTGTATATTTACTTTGTTTTAATTTCTGACATTACTGCAGAAATTTTGAGCTAGATGATATTCTTTACATTAAAGTATAATATTTTAGAAATCTTACAGTGGGAATTCTTTTCCTTTTGAGACCTTGTAATTCACTCAGGAGCTGCAGCTAAAGCAAACAACATTTAATACAAAGTATAAAACTTTCAGTATCAGCATTCAAAGCCACTTGTTGTAATTTTATTTAAGCTAGGTAACTAATCAGTTTTACATACAAAAAAAAAGCAAGCAAGTAATTATGCAATAAGATGAATATCATTTACAAGAAAATACACCAGGCGATGTTTCATGTCACTCATGGTAATGCAGCTTTCACCTTCTCTGTTAGGTTCACGTCATTCTGTCAGGACGTTCGAACATAGTTATTATCTAAAATCTCACACTGGACCCTACCAAGTGGATAAGCATTTTGCTCATTTTTTATTTAGTTGAACTTTACATATCACAAAGTGTGAAAAATTCAAATTTGGGCAGCTTCATTCTGAAATCAGGCATGGTTTTCATAATCCTGAAACTTAATAAAACTGATTACTCCGTTTTTGCTTTTTACCATCCTCTGTTTTACATCCACAGATACAAACACCATTCAATACAGACACAGAAATCTGAGAAACACAAATACTTATGTAAAAGCAATTAGGGACAAAATGCATAGGGTTGGTTTTGTGTTTTGATGTGGGTCTGGTTTTGAGAGTTGAGTTTCATCACCTCCAGAGTAATTTTAGAGCAGGTGTACAGTGGTGTGTGTCTGCACAGGAGGAGGCTTAATGTCTATTTGGTAATCTTGAATCTCCAAGCTCAGATCCCTGTGAAAATGAGATTAAGCTTAAAACATGATTATTGTTAGTAAGAGATTGAAAATATATACAAATTACAACATACAAACTCCAACACACTTAGCATCTAAGCATCATTGTCAAGAACGATTCTATGAAGCAGAGAGTTGCAGAGAATCACTCAAAATACCAATGTTCATGGGGATGGGAGTGGATGGGATGAGGGGGCAGAGGGAGTAAAAAGGATCAAGATGCTATTGCATAGGCTGCTGTTCCCCATGATGAATGTGTTTATTATGCATCGAAAACATGCGAATAAAAATGGGAAAGAATTAAAAATCAGAAATGATGGTTTTGAGCTGAGTTGTCAAGATGTTATCCACCAAGATTTCATTAATTAAAAAAATGTAGCCTGCCATGGACATTTCTATCTGTCACCATTGTGGTACACGACACCGCCATGTGCCTCTGTACCTATAAACATAAGCTCTCCAGACAGTGTAGCAAACAGAGTCCCTGGGCCACCTCACCCAGTCTTAATGATGATGATAGCTATCATAATCTTATAAAAGGGAAACATGGCAGGATAATAGTAAAGTACTAGCTTCATTTTTCTTCTGAAATTCTGTAGTAATAAATATAAACTCTAAAAGTATATTAAATTGCTAATTTTTAACTACAAGTTGTGGTATGCAAGACACAAATGATGCCATACTGTGAACAAAGACTCAAATGCATCCACCCTGTACGTTTTTAACACAACTTATTATAAGCCATGCATTTCCAACTGTACGTAAAGTTCTGACATTAAAATCATTTATTACCCTGTATTCTTAATACTCATATTTTTAAGAAAACAAAACTCAAATAGCCTTGAATTTTAATTTAAATTTCTTGTATTACTAGTTGCCTGTGTCTAGGCAATTTACAACTAATGGGGACTGATAGATGGAACCCAGCCCTCGTTTAGGTGTGTTTGACTGTAATCAGTAGCACTCTTTGATCAAGTGCCCGGCAGATAGTACGAAACACAGTGAAGCTTTAGTTCAGTCACTTAATGACTGATAAAACTCTAGTAGCCCAAAGAACTAGTATTTAACTTTGTGTAACAAATATTTTATAACCAACACTTAATGAAGCTCCTGTAAATACCTGATACAGTTCTCAGCGTCTCATAAATACTAACCTGTACAATCCTCAAGATGTTCCAAAGCATTTGGTTGCCCAGTATCGGGAGCAGATTTTCAAAGCAAGGGGGTATAGGTGTAGAAGCCTGCAGGGAAAACAAATCAGGGAAATAACAAGCTCCCAATGGTGTTGTTGCAGAGTCCAGACCTCAAATAAAACACGCCCCTGCCTTTGCTCAGAATAGACCTGGGTGTTGCTTGTGTGTGCCTGTATCCGAACACAATCTACATAATCTGTTTGGGTCCCTGCAGGCAATGTTGAAGTCTATTAAGATATTAAAGTCTAAAAATAAAATCTAATAAATAATAAAGTTATACTTTTGGTTAAACTGTAATTTATTTTACTTCTTTTGTTTCATAAAGCTCGACAGGATTGTTTTGTTACTTTTAATACTTTTAAGACTTTCTTTGAGGCATCTTTCACTTCTTTGTTCCTCAGACTATAGATTAGGGGGTTTAGCATGGGGATCACCACGGTGTAAAACACCGAAGCCATTTTGTCTGTGTCCAAGGAGTGGTTCGACTTGGGCTGCAGGTACATAAAGATTAGTGTGCCGTAAAAAATAGTGACAGCCACCATATGGGAGCCGCAAGTAGAAATGGCTTTGCGTCTCCCCTGGGTGGAACGGATCCTCAGGATGGCAGTGATGATGAAGAGGTAGGAGATGAGGACGATCGAAGAGGAGCAGATCATGTCAAAGCCAGCAAAGGCAAAAATGAGAATTTCTTTGACGTGTGTGTCAGAACAGGAGAGAGCCAAGAGGGGGAGGTCGTCGCAATAGAAATGATTGATGACATTGGAGCCACAGTAAACCAGGCGGAAGGTGACAATGGTGTGGAAGAGAGCCACCAGGAAGCTGTACGTGTAGGGCACTGCCACCAGTTTGAGGCAGACTCTCTTTGACATCAGCGTTGAATAATGCAGGGGTCTGCAGATGGCAGCATAGCGGTCGTAGGCCATGGAGGCCAGAAGGAAGCACTCAGTGATCATGAAGGTCAGGAAGCAGCCCAGCTGAGCTGCACACGCGTGGAACAGAATGGTGTTGTGTTCCACGACAAAATTCACCATCATCTTGGGAGTGATGGCCGAGGAGTAGCAAAGGTCCACGAAGGCCAAGTGACTGAGGAAGTAGTACATGGGGGTGTGGAGTCGAGCATCGATCCTGATCAAGGTGATCAAGCCCAGGTTGCCCAGCACTGTCACCACGTAGATCACTAAAAACACCACGAAGCATGGCGTTTGAAGCTCAGGCCGATCCGTGATCCCCTTGAGTATGAATTCTGTGACATACGTGACATTAACCTCAGCCATTTATTCTGGCAGGTATTGTGGATTTTCCTGCAGTTAAAGAATAAAAGCGATATTTCTTATGGCCTTTTCCAGTTTTGGAGGAAGAAAATCATTGCTTTCTTTTTGCTTGGAATCATTTTGCCGTGTAGGCACAAGGAATGCCTTGACTCTGACAATTCTCCACTCCTTTATTTGTAACCTTAAAGGGAAGTTTAAAGGGAAGCTTAAAGATAAGGGAAGAAATTCTTGATTAAAAATTAAGTATTAAAAAATAAGTTGAAACAATATTACTAGGTCAGCATTACATTGCCACTGTCTTTTCCATGTTAAATAAATGTAGCATCATGAACAATGTAATAAATGAGAACCACGTTTCTACTTCTATTCTCTGCAATTTTGTGCATCCTACTATAAGATATAGTCAAACTATATCAAGATAAATTCACATATTAATAATATATAAATAATTCTATAACTTCCACAATTTGCTCCATTTCTATTGTCCCATCTCTGTTGATTGAATAAGTAAATCACGCTATCGAAGCTAACTGAGAATTGCTCCAAAGCAAGGTAAAATGCATAATTTTATTTACATAGAAATTAGAAAGGCATGATTTTTCTGATTCAAAAGTCCCCATGTTTTGGAGTTCACTGCCATAAGTGTTAACACAAATCAAGTAGGTTATCAATTAACTTATTATTGTAAACTATGTGTAGACAGATACCTTTCCCTATAAATATGCATAGATATACTACAAAGACTTAAAATATCCAAGACATATGCCCTAATTGGAATTGTTTGTTTATTAGTACATATAATTATACAGAATAGTGGGTTTCAGTGTAATATATTTATACATGAATGTATCTAACTGATTATATATCTTCCTATATGACTCTCCTTCTTCATTGTATTGATCCATTCCTCTTCAGATTTAAGTAGTTTTATAAAAATATACACAGGTCAGGGTTTTTTTTTGATGCAACTTGTAGAATAATTGTAATTATTTATGGCTCTATCAGCCATTTAAAAACAGATTAGGTTCATTATTAGCCTATTTAAATTTTATTTTTGCTTCTTGGTTTCTTTTCCATAAAGTAGAACCAAAAGCATTGGTGTCTTACTACTTAAGTTTTAGTGGCTGATACAAAAGAATGAGGCTCATAACCACTTCTATGTTTCTATAATGTGTAGCTACATGTTGGAAGCTTGGAGAAGAAAACCAGAAGACCTGTAGCTTACTGAAGATATCCCAGCTTCCCATGTGCTTGTCCACGATGAAAGCACACTCCAGAATTTAAAAAGTTAGATGTGTAATGTTGTCCTCTCCCATAAGTGACTATTCTATTAATGACTATTTGGAATTAGGGCTTCTGTGACCTATACCAAAGATTCCCTGAGACTTGAAGATACTCAATTTTTTCTCACAGTCTTTTGATTTCAATTCCAGTTGCAAAATCATCATTTAAATCCTTTGCAAGTATAATTAGAAGGCTACCATACAGTGCAAAAGGGACTACCTTCTCTGAAATAGTGTCATAGAAAGGTTTATTTATAATTTATTATAAATTTTAACTAACCAAGGTCATCTGTAGGGCAGAATGTTGAATAGTGTTGCTTCTATATACCTTCCAGGTTTGTGGAGCTTCCAAGGTTCAAGCCAAATCAGTGGGAAATTTGTTAGAACAAAAAGATATCAATGACAATATTATCTACGGGAAGTCCTTACAAACGTAAAGTAGAATATTTAGATGTCACATTATAGTAGAAAAGCAATATTCATGGTGAAGTTGTACATTAAACTAGAACTTAGATTTCAAGTTCAAAACCTGAAAAATCTCAGAAACAAAATTAGTTATGAAAATATTAAGATGCTCCTATAATACAGTAGTGGTAATTGTGTACTGAGCTTGCAACCCTGCAATTTATTTTATCAATTTCTATGAATTTAAGTACCCTGTCTTTGTGTATGGTAATTAGATTTTCTAGGTTGCTCAAAAACAATCAGCAAGTCAAAGTCTCACCAATGATTAAGCTTTTCACAAGTCTGGCAATTTTTAGGAAAATTCTTAAAGTCATTGATACAGTCTAGTCATGGATTTCTTTCAGCATGCTGGTGTTTCTTGCATCATTTTATATTTTCTAAAGAAAGTTTTACCTTTTTTTTATATTGAAATTACCTGTGGTCTTCTGAGTGACCCAATGCTCAGGCATCCCACATGAGTCTCTCAGAATTTTCTGTGGAGTGGGGAAACCCCAGGAGATTTTAAAATGAAGCGATGTTTGAGAACCAGTGGTCTAAAGAATAAATGCAGGGATCAAAGTAGCAAGCAAACTCATCAATATTTTCAGAATTATTTCTTTCTCTTTTGGTTTTGGTGTCTAAAGCCTGATTGAATTCATTTCAGTACATGACTCCACTGTGCCAATGGCGTTCCAATTGGAATACGTCTCTCTAGTCACGTGGAAAAAAATCAGAAAGAGTAACATGGACAAAGCCTTTTAAAAAATTAATCCGGTGCTCTATTTCCCTAGGTGCTGTTTTCTGAAAATGGCTGGAGAGAGCACCTGCATTTTTGGTCCTTATTTATCTTTACTCCCCAGAATCCACCTTTCTTTCACTTTACAAATGTGTGTGCCTACATTTCAGCCATCTGGAACGTTATATGGTTTATTATACATGGGCAAATAAAAGTTTGATATTTTAAACAATTTAGGCATTTGCTTGTTTTCTTTCACAATACAATAAATACGACTTTTGTTCTTATTGAGACAAATTTCAAATACAAGCCATGTTACAAAATACAGATATTTCAATCATTTTATAGTCAGACATTTTTAAACTTTTCTCTCTTTAATGCCTAATATATATACTTTGCATATATTACATAATCCACATGCAATAAACACATGTACTTTAAAGTTACTGAATGCCAATATTAAGAACATAAAAATTCCAATATCTATAACATGAAAAAGTTATTTCTTGTACATATTTCAACTATTAGTGAAACATTCTAGATGTCAATTATATAAGCTGAGAAAGTATTTCCTTTTCTATTTATTTTAGTACCTACCACAATTCATTAGTAATCATCACTTTTAGTTTTTTTGGGTGGTTGATTTAATGCCAATCAGTTTCATTTCATTGTTTCCTCTTTTCTCCAGATACTATTTTGCCCATTTAGAATCTAAAACACAGGTGCAAAGCAAATTAATTTTTCTCATACTGTATTTTTTTTTTTGTTTGAGACAGGGTCTTGCTTTGTAGGGCAGGCTGACCTTGAACTCATTGTGTAGCCCAGGCTGATCTCAAACACTTGTGATCTTTCTGCCCCAGCCTCCCTGCTGCTGGGATATAAGCATGCATCACCATGTCCAGTTCTCATAGCCTACTTCTTAAAGGGCATTACTGCTTGGGAATTAAAGATTTATGTGCTATTTTATGCAGTTGAGTATCAGACATAGCAGCAATTCTCTGCACAGAAACAGTATTCAAACATGAGGTAAAAGAAAATGATCACGGAGAATCCCTTGCTCCTCCCAACTGCTCACTCAGTCCATTGTTTTCCAAGTGACTCACTGCTGAGTATTCTGTATGCCCTAACTGAGTTTTATCAGGATTTGCAAACACTTGCTGCTTAGCATCTCTTATTCCAGGGCTGCACCAAATTCCTTTGTGTTGAAGAATCTGTCAGACGTATTCATGAAGTATGCAGTGCATCACATGGTTCAGACCCACTCGTACTTTCATCCATAGATGATACCCCTAAGTGCCCCAAACGAGAAAGTAGCACAGCCTTGTACAGAAAATGCTGGAAATACCTGGGCTGAAACCCATTCCCTAGAAACCCTCCTCAAAACAAAACATTTTTTTTTTTCTGAGAAACAGTATCTGGAAGATGGTATCCCAGTAGATTTCTGTTCTATTTCAGGATTCAAAAACTATAGAGAGTATCCATTTCTTGTTTAACAGATTTTTTTATTTACTTGGTGTTCAGTGATTTCAAAAGGAGGACTTTATTATCTTAAAAAAAAAGGAAAAGAAAAATATTTCCAGAATTTAAAAGTAGAGCCATTCTTAATGAAATACCTTTATAAAAGGATTTTAGGCAGGAAATCCCACACATTGCCATATATCTCCTCTATCAGACAATAATAGCAACTCACTTTTGTGTATATTATATCAAAGAGAGTAAACTCTGACACCATCTGGTGAGCATGGGAGAAGGCAGAGAACAGGAAGACAGAGAGCAGGAAAAGGAGAAGGAGAAGGACAGACAGAGAAAGAGATAGACAGAGGCAGAGACAGAGACAGGGACAGACATAGAGCTGAGGATTAATGAAGTAGCATTCGCATCAGATAAGTCTGAAAGTACAAAATGAAGTTAGGGTACAGTATGACTTCAGTGAATTGGATAACTCATGAAGAAAATAGATTTTTGTGGGATCTGGAGCACAGTGAAGGTTAACTACATGTTCTGTACCCAAACTCCATCTGACTCACCTGTGAGCAATGAACTTGGCTTCCAGTGAGCAAATTCTGATGCCACTAAGGTAATGTAGCATCTCTCAGGTCCCACAGAGCATAGATGTGACTCCCTGGGGCCTCCAAAAGCTGTGCTCAGTTCCTCTAGGCTTCCCTGAATATTAAGTCGAACTTGAAAAATTACACTGGGGGCTTAAAGGAATTCTTTACCTGTCTGGGCTCCTGGGAGACCTACACTTTCAATGTATGTATAATGTATTTCCTTGAAGGAGAATATGGGTTCTACGATTGAAAACACAATAATAAGTGATAAGGTTGCAGTCATTTAGGTCTAAACTCAAGCTTTATGAAATAATAAAAATAATGTTAAATGCTGAACCTTCTTGGGCAAGGTTCATGTATTTTTTAAGTCTCGACTTCTCCAATTTTAAGATTAAGTATAATTATATTCCTTGCAATGTTTTTGTGAATACAAACAGTATAATTAATAAATTACTGAACCATATATATATAAACATAGATATTGCCATA